AGGAGTCAGTCCTTGGGTGGCAAATTTCTTTACCCAAACAGAGTCACCAGGTTGGAAGGGATGAACTGGATACAGGCAGAACATCTCGGACGTGCTTCTGGTCTGCTTTCTGGGTAGACTGTAAAGCCTGAAAGAACTCCTGCAGGATTTTTCAATAAGTCCTCGCCGCTTGCCCGGTGATGGATGGGGGAGAGCCTCCTGCCCTAGACAGGGGGTCCCTCTCACCCCTGCCGGGTATCTCGCTGTGGCCTCCAAATGTTATGGGTTCACTCAGCGAGATAGACCACCTACTCAGAATTTAAATTTAAGAGCCTTTATTAAGCTGGCCAGCTGACTACAGTTACAGCACCCTGCCGAAGCAAAGGCTGAACTGCAGCGCAGACTACAGGAATTACAGTATTTTTATTTGCAAAAACCACAAAGTTACAAAACCTTAGTTCCCGACACAGTATAGTATCAGTACCTTCCTATCTATGTGTTTTAGGAACAGAGAGTACAGCATATTGAGAAGGGGCCATGAGACTATATCTCAAGGCCTGGCCTATGTCAGTATCTTCCTATCTATGTGTTTTAGAAACAGACAGCACAGCACGCCCCGTCTGGCCAAAGTGCCAGATATGCAGCCCAGCACAATAACACTGACTGTGTGGGCTCCTGTCTCGAGAGTAGGAGGTTCTGGAAGGCAGGCCTCGGGCCTCACTCAGATATGTTACCAATACTGACCCCTCACCAGGGCTGGCACAAAGGAAGTGTCGATGTGGCCCTCGGATGTTTTGGTTTCAGGACCTCTTTATACTCTTAAGAATTACTGAGGATCCCCAAAGAGGTTTGTTTTTTACATGGGTTACATCCAGTTATATCTGGTTAGAAATTAAATGGAGAAAAATGTAAAGCATAACACCCAAGCCTACAGGCCTCACAGCCCATCAGAGCGGTGCCATCTGCCATGATGGATCACACGGCCTCTAGGAGACACTCCGCTCATGGGAGAGAGACGGCGACAAAGTAAATAACAGCTTAGTGTTGATACGAAAGCAGTCAAAACCCAGTCAGCCCTGGGTTTGAATCCAGCTCTGCTGTGCGATGTGGGGCAATTACTTATCCTCTCTGGGACTCATTTCTTCATCTGTAAAATAGAAATAACTGTACAGGGGTGGGCAAAAGTAGGTTTGCAGTTATTTGTATGGAAAATAATAAATAATAATACAAGAATAAACTCTGTGTTTCACATACTCAAAACAGTAAACCTACTTGTGCTCCATCTCAGAGCCATTATGTGCATTAAATAGCACTTATAAACTGTGGATCACTGTTCCTAGCCCATCAGTGCCTGATAACAGTGGGCAGAAATGGTGGTTTATTTTTTTTAATGTAATTTTATTGATTTCAGAGAGGAAGGGAGAGAGAGAGAAACATCAATGATGAGAGAGAATCATGGATTGGCTGCCTCCCACGCCCCCCACTGGGGATGAAGCCCACAACCCAGGCATGTGCCCTTGGCCGGAATCGAACCTGGGACCCTTCAGTCCGCAGGCTGACACTCTATCCACTGAGCCAAGCCGGCTACGGCAGAAATGGTGGTTTAGATGTGTAGGATGGTGTGGTAAAGGCAGCGTCCTGGACCACAAGTCAAGACAGCTGGTGTTGGAGTTCTGGCTCTCCCACTAGCTCTCCCACCGTGATCTTAGGAAGACGCATGCTCTTCCTGGGTCTGGTCTGCCCCACCTGGGATGTGGAGGTACCTTGGGAATTGTCACGAGAGAAAGGGGTGGGGGCTGAGCAGCTGAGCCCCACCCTCATTTGATCAGCTTTTATATACTAACTAGTGGCCCGGTGCATGAAATTGATGCACATTAAAAGGGAATTAATTAGAGGAAATATTTTAATATTGCTATTTGCCCTTTCCCTATAATAGAAGTATCAGAGATGAAAGAAAATTAGTAAAATGTATATGAAAATCTCCCTCCTG